ATACTGTGGTCACAGCAGACAGCAACAACTACAGGCAGCTCCTGTCTTCAGGAAACAGGCACCCGTCCCAGTGCAGATTTCAGCTGACCAGCTACTCTGCTTCCTCTGGCGACGACATACTACAATGACTGTGCCAGCCAGGTATTGCGACCCGCCCGTCCGTCCCTCCGTCCGACCTCGGTGCGTCGGCCGACGGCCATCCAGGTAGGCGCGGCGCCGCCCCTGCGGCTCACGGAACGCCGCCCTGTGGCATCCGTCAATGTCGCCGTCCGCCCGGTAAAAACGGCCGCTCCGCCGAGCGACCGGCCGGCCCGGTCCGGCAGTCGACGGCGCGGCAGTAAATCAGTCGGCGAGCGACAGACCCCCCCCCACCGTCCGTCCCTGCCGCTGACACACAGGGGCGGCTACCTGGCTAGTCGGGGGATACCTACCTACGTGGGCTGACCGGGGTGCAGGGAGACGGTGATGAGTCCGAAAATGTCTGACATAAATGCCGAGGATGTGTCGTAATCCAGGAGTTTGTCGACGATTTTTACGTGTCATTAACTATCTCGTGGGCAATCTCGGCCGGGGAATGGCTGTCTGGTAGTGGGATGTTTTTATTTAAATCGTATGCAGCGTTGATAAAGTGCATGTCATTTGTCGATATAGCCGGCCAGGAGATTGTTCGAATCAAGATGGCAGGATCGAACAGGACTTAGCAGCAGAATACAAGCTGTTTCAATCGGATTTAAATTCCCAGTGAGCACAACTCGCAAGCCGTTTGGTTGTTTGGAGACAGCTCATTCAGGACCGTTGCAAACAGCATGTAAATGCCGCATTGTTCTTGGATAGCTGCATTGTTGTCGAGTACGACTTTTTGGGGGAGCTCATTACTGGCCGCCATTCGAAATGTCAGTGAGTTGAGGGAGTGACAGCGGCACGCGGCACCGTTGCGGCAGCCACTTGCAGTAGCCCAGTTCCGGCCAAAGCGTCCACAACATGCAATCTTAGTCTCCAAAGCATCGAATGGCGTGCAGTGCAGTGGACTGACAACAGACTCTGATTGAGTAGCAATTTGATATCGGCTACCGCGATGACATAACCGGACTTCTGGAAAGCCGGTCATGCCGGATAATCGACCGGTGCCATGCTCCCTATCCTAGAAACTGCCAGGGGCGCCGCCACGGATTTTTGACTGGGGGGGACGGACTGACCGACTGAAAACCCTAAAATAGACATTCTTACCGTGGCTTTTTTGGTCCGACGTATTGAACGTTTAAAGCAAATATGCCACTTTTAACATAGGGTTTTAAACTGAAGTAACAGTTTTGTAGCTTGAGCTGAGACAAGAATTAACAAATCAAGAGCTGTTATGGCCCAACGATCAACCTAGCCAAAGATATCGGTATCGATTTTAGGTTTGAAGACTGAAGTCATTCCCATAGGCTACACTTTGTCATTCCATTACCGAGGAATCCATTCCCTTACGGAAAAATGCTAGCCAATCAGCATTCAGTTGGTGCCTGGTTTGAACTACGTGACACGAGTATGCTTGGTCAACGCGTAATCAGCTTCCGCTGCAATATAAGTAGCCTCTACGAAAGATGGAAAACAGTTCTTATGTAGAAATAAAATAAAATCATCTTTGCAAATATTCATTATGTTATTTTCTGACCATTTTAAGCATAAGAACTCATAACTGGGGCAAAACAACTGGTTTGAGGAAAGTAGTTTAGGTATGGCTATAGACCGATTTCCCACCAAGTGCCTACCTATATACACATCCGATGTCCGATTCAATTTGAAACGGCAAAACCTCCAGTGCTCTATCAGGCTATAATTGCTGATGTGTGCCACTAATCTGATCGGTAATGCATATTGCATAGGAAATGCATATTGCATACCCGCGTGGAGGAGGGGGCGTTGTATAGGTAGTAACAATCTGTCTTTCTGGGTTGTGCATGAATCGGCGCGAAGCGCCGCGAAAATTGGCAAAAAACATCAGGCAAAACTGCTCCAAAATATGGATTTTGCAGCCCGTGTAACAAGCTTGATACCAGAAAACCTTAGGTCAGGTCACCAAGTGAAGTAGTCAAGTCGCCTCAAAGTTTTGTTGTCCTCTCAACCGTATAGCTTATTTCTTAGAAGCTGGAAATTTAGTGTCGTGTGACTGCAGAACGGTCGGAGCCGAAATCAGTCGGAGTTGATAGTTATGGCTAGAGTCGGAGTTGAAGTCTTCGAAATTGTTCGGATTTTGACTTTGATGTCGGATTGGTTTACCTAAAGTCATGCTCTCTTGGCTGGTTTGACGAAATATATTAGGCCCATTTTCGGCCAGTCGTTTTATACGACACACGTTGATCACGATATCAAAAATCGGCAGTTCCGCGATAACAGGTCGGACAAGAGCTGGAGATTTTGTTGGCCGAGGTGTCAGGGGTCAGACCAATGCATGTAGGCCCACACCCCATATACTGAGTATGTAAACCTCCTGGACCCTCTCAGATTCGGCACCGTTCTATCTCTTCCATCCTCAGGACAGTCAAATCCTTCTCCTCCACGCCGCAACCCCCCTGCTCCGGGCTGGATGGGCAACTATCCCATGCAGGAATGGCTCCACTGGAGCTATAGTCCTTTGCCGGGTGCAGTGAGTGCCAGTGGGCTGGGCTGCCTGTTCAATCGGTCGGGTTCAGCCCAATTGTGGGTCACTGGGGTGGCTGCCCAGACCAATGTCTCCCACTAATTCTTTCATCCTTCCGGCTCTGAAATGGTCTCATTGGACAGACGGGCCTAAGCAAGTTTCGGGTATGGATAACAACCAGTAAAACGCTTTTTGGGGCGACCAACGGAGCGAGCGAGAGGGTGCGAGGGTGCACGTGCGAAATTGCAAGGGGGTACCTCCAACTAACTTGTGCACTGCACCCTACTAACCGGTCCCTAACGATGTGCCAAATTTGAGCGCAATCGGCCTAGCCGTTCTCGAGCTCTGGTCTGGAAGCGGCACCTTGCACGTGCGCACGTGCAAAATGGGTCCCAACTGACTTTTGCACGGTACCCTACTAACCGGTCCCTAACCATGTATCAAATTTCAGCACAATCGGTTCAGCCGTTCTCGAGATCTGGAATCGACCCCTGCACGTGCGCACGTGCAGCAGCACCCCAACTGTAGCACATGAATATGCATTGCCTAGTGGGTACCTACCTATACATGCCAACTTTCTTTGCCAAAATTGTTACAAAACTGACACCTCTTCATTTTTCATGTGGCACGTGCATAAGGGGTCACCCACATGCATCGGGAATAGTCCAACACTTGTTAGAAGGAATAAAGCTACCCTACCGAAAATTATGGCATGTAATTCGGTCAAAAGTGGCTGCTGAGATATAAGCCTCGCAAAAGCGTGCCGGCCGCTCACACTCAGAAATTTCCGTTATCTACGAAAGACTAAGCTCGCTTCGCTCGCTCCGTAATGAGTTTGGGGGGGACGTCCCCCTTCCATTCTGAGAGTGGGGGGACGCGTCCCCCCCGTCCCCCCCGGTGGCGGCGCCCATGGAAACTGCTCAGAATCACGTCGAACAACATGATTAATCGTTCCCGAATCCCGCCTATGATAGGCATTAGGTAAGAAGTGATGGGCTGAATCCTCGCTAGATGAAGGCATTGGATGACCCGGAGAAAGGACGCATTCATAGACCTCTACATACCTCTACATGGTACCTCTACATGGTATGTAGAGGTCTATGACGCATTCTTTATCTATCTCTCAATCACGATCGCCCAGTTCATATAAATGGAATAATAAACAACAATCAATCTACCTCAACAAGTGTCAAGTTATCCATAACCTGCAGCTACTACGGACATGTTGAGGATTATCAAATGACAGATGTGACATATAAGTGCATGTATGGCCATGGCCTAAACTTTTGAATTCATTTTAAAAGAGATAAAACGCAAAAATTACTCAACGTTTCGCATTTATTGCTTAGCTTAGTCATGGGTGTTAGAGTGCGATTGTGTGCGATTTTAAAATGAATTCAAAAGTTTAGGCCATACATGCACTTATATGTTACTACGGACATGCAGAATGTATGTAGGTACCTAGATGCACGATGACTGCAGAAATTCTGACGGCTCCATCCCACACGTGCCCACACTGATTTCTAGGACAGATCTGAGGGTTGCAGTCTTGCAGATCTTGGATAGCACATGGTGGCCACATGGTGGCATGGTATAATCTGTACATTCAGGCAAGAGGTTAAAAAGGCCTGACCAATATGACCGAGACCGACCAGCACGCGCCATCAGACCCGCCCTCCCCGCACGAGCTCCAGACTCCAGTAAACCGGCGAGCACAACCTGAGGTGAAGTGAGCTGAAGGCTCCCACAGCTTGCAGTGTGCACGAACATTCAGGCTTTGGCGGACCGAGCCCAAGCCACACGGAAAGGTTGATGCTGATGCGTCTGCTCAGGAACCAGAAACTGACAGTCACGCCACCAAGGCGCTGTGGGTACGATTTCGGAAAATCGACATCGCCTTTCACGGTGAACGCATTCATCGAAGCGTAAGGAATCAACTCAAGTTATCAAGATGTGAGCTTTCTCGTATAGCGTGACATGATATGGATATCAAATGTGCACGCAAGCCACAAAGTAGTCACTTTTCACAAAGTTCCAGCATAAACAACACAAAGAAATGCAATGGTATCACACTACATGCCGCGGCGCTAATACAAGATGAAATCGAACAAACCAAGGGATTAGTAAACATAGCTGATGAACTTCTACTGACGACCAATTATATCGCCCCTGGTTATAGTAAATTTCTCCAGTCTTTCTCAAACGAGCTTTCGAATTTACGCACAAGTCTGTGAAATCAAGGGAAAGGTCAAGGCAAATGTAAGATAGGGAGGCAGTGCACGTGGTTCGCGCTCTGCGCCCCTTGCGTTTCCGTTAGTTCGATGAGGCAATGGCGGGGGAGCAGGAGGGGGGCAGTGACGGTCAATAAACTCCTTACCATTTCGGCTGCCTCCGCTTGCGTCTCGTGCCTGGCAATGTTGGGCATCCGTGTGACATTGTAGGGCATGTCCTGGCACGCTTCTATCGTGATAGGCTCGCACTGACTGGTCCTGTGGGGCTCGAACACCGAGCCGCCGACGGCGACCACCAGAGCCGCCAACACGTGCCACACATCCATCGCTGCCACAGGCGTGACCTCACAGTCGGCAGCCACCGCCTGGCGCGCCGATCAGCACCGCATCGGCCCCACGCGGTCACAGCACAACTCAGCAACAACCCCCACTCGCCGACGACTCCTCGCGACTGACCGACCGCCCGCTTCGCCGACGCACCGCGTCCGCCCGCCACCGGGGACCACTCAAGGTCACCAGAATAGAGGGCGCCACCGACCGGACGCCTCCCTTCGGTGGCCCATCTCGCCGTGCCCGGCGACTGGCGAGGGGCGATATGTGAACAAGCAATGCGGGGTGGGTATATAGAGCCTTGGTCATGATTAATGGTTATTGGTCGTTCTACGTAGTACGTACGGTGTACTGCAGTTGACAATGACAGTGAAGATTCGTTCTCCACTCTGCTATTTTCCATCCGAAATTTGCGAAACTCCAGAAGCCAAGATAGAAAAATGTCAGAACGTGGTTGATCAAAATCTGTTGCATAAACGGCGCTATGATAGTTGTATTTCATTTATTCAACAATGTATTTCACTCATAACACTCGGTTCAAACAACGGTGAGACACGATAGCTACAGCTGTAGCACTATGAGTCAATAGACTCGATTACCTACTGATGAAACTGACACCATACTGAGGACCAGACAACATGAGTCATAAACCGACCGCAGCTTGAGTTCAGTTCACCCCACAGCTCTTGTTAACAGTTATACGTGCATCAGCCGTAGCGGGGAACATAAACGACGAGCCAGGGCGGCAAATGCTTTCATTACACACTGGTAACAACATGCTGCACCGCCCAGTTCCCAGCTCTGCCGGGCTGAGACATATACTGCGGACACCGGCATCTAGCAAAGTTAGGCGTTACTCTCGATCTCAGTCCAGTCAGGAGAGGACGCCGACCGACCGACCGCCGATCTGCGCCGGTCACCGGTCCAGCCCGCTCAGCTCGTCCTCGGAGCGGGTGTAGACGGGCCGGCTGCGCGCGCGCCGCCGCAGCTGAGCACTCCCCAGCGGCCGGCCGTCGCGCGGCGCCAGCGCGCCCGGCGGCAGGTTGACCGGCCGCGGGTACGGCGTGCCGTAGTGCAGCGCCAGCTCCAGCCGGCTCTCGGCCTCGGTCAGGTACTGGCGCACGCGCTTCGGGTCCGTCTCGCCCGAGTGGCGCCGGAACAGCTGGCCGGCCTCGGCGCGGATGTAGGCGCGATGCTCGGCCGTCTCGGACGGGTCCGCCGCCTGCCACGTGCGCGCCGCGCGCAGGATCTGGCGGTACATGCTCAGCACCTGAGTCCGCAGCGGCGCTGAAGAAGCCATCCTCGCCAGTTGTCCCCCTCCAGGGTTCCAGGCCCACCTGAAGAGGTGTTGCTACCTGAAATCAGAAATGCTTCCATGGCCATTTCAAAAGACTACAATTATGCTAGGTAGGTATACCGACATGCTGCCAATAGGTAGGTATATAATTTGGTTGATTCAGTGCACTTTGAACTAGGCAATAGTGCTGAGTACCTACCTGCATTCATTATATCATAAGCTTGAAGCGCTCGTAGCTTAGATACTGAAATTCTAGTCCCCGGGAAATGAGTCTTGCCCTGCTGTAGGTCAAGGTGCTGACTGGTGCATAAGATCGTGACCGAAAGCCAGTGAAGACATGACTGTTCTGTTTTGAGACTTAGAATTGACAAATAGCCCAAAATATGCCCCAACCTCACCTTGCTCTTTCCTTCCTCCTCCTAAGCACTTCATCTATCTCAATCCTCAACGCCTTGCCCTGAAACTTCACTTTCACTTGTGTTCAAATCGCAAGTCTGCATATGCTTATTATCGCAGATGATTTTAGTGATGCAATTTCAAAATGTTTTTACTCCATTTGTATATTTGATTTTATATTCTTGCCTCCTTTCATTCTTCACAATGGTAAGTATGGAAGAATAAAAGATGCTATGAAATGTTGGTAGCTTCAAGTCAATGGAAAATTTGGTCAGGAATAAAAGAAAACCAAAGATTTTTGCCTACCGTGGTGAAGTAGCATCTTTAAAACATCAAGGTAAAGTGCCGTCGATGAACCGTCTGGATTCAGAATGAATACGAAAGTATTATATATTTGTTTAGGCATAAATGACGCAGCTGTTTCAGTCGTATGATCGAAGCTTCCAATTTGTCGTTTTCGCTAGCACTATTAGACAAATCAGAGGTAAGAGTATCTTTGAAATTTTGATTATAAATAAAATGTGAATGCTTTTTATAACAACAATGCAACACTGAATGAATTTAGGAATGCACAATGAAAGCTGGGGATCAAAGTTTCATGAATTCTTTGGTGACAGTCGACAGACCACCAATCATGTAACAGGCTAGCCTGTGCCGCTGGATTCTGCTCGAGTTGACGTAAACACCTTACGTAGAACATTACTACTCTGTGGGGAGCGTGGTGGGGGGGGGATGGGGGGTTATTGGGTAACCGATATCTCTCTCGAATGAACGTCCATTTCTTTTGGCCTTGGTCTCTTTCGGGTGGATTGAGTTGAGTTTTGGATGAATTTAGCTGTAACTCTCCAGTAATTTTTATTTGAATCGAAAGTTTGTGGTGAAATATTATTTCAAGAATGGCAGATTCAAAGCCCAGTTTATTCTCCTATTCCACGTTGGTTCATGCAATTGCAGGTGCAACGGTAAGAACTGCATTCGAAGAGTTTGATTCAGTTTTATAAAATTTGGATTCCGTCAAATTGAGGTTTATTTCAACCTGTTCCCTAGAAGCTAAGGTCGATATTGTCAGTTCATCATAATTTTTCTGTCTCCGTTTTTCTGTCTCCGCAACTTATTTTCATATGGCTAGTTGGGTTGTAACTGCAAAACACTGCAATTCTAAAAAGATGAGAATTCATTGGTGTGGTGTGCAGGGTGTATTTGGAATGGATTGGTGGGGCCGGGGGTCTTACATGGTATTATGCTTAATTGCTGTCCTGGTACAGCCTTGTGAAATTAAATGAAACATGCCAGGGCTGCCAATGAATAGTTTTAGTTAAACTGCACTTTTTATTATGAGTGCTCCTTTCTAAATTCTGTTATTAAAGATATGCCCATATTTCTGCGGAAGCTGATAAAGTTTCACAATAGATTTTACGAGCCACCAGGACTATAAGCAAGTCTTAAATGTGGCCAAACTTGAGTTTGTTAATGGTACCCACATTGATGGGAAACTATAGTAACCTATGTTTGTATAATTAAGTCTACTTCACAGTTCAGTCAGGTTTTCTTTCCTGTTGCATGAGATGAGAGGATAGGAATGTTTGACAGGCACCAAGTGGTGTGGCAGATTGATGGTATGTCTGGGGGTCTGCTCACCTGGTTTACTACTCACCTGGTCAGTAAACCACCAGGTGGAACTGCAGGGTGGTCCTGCAAGGTGTGCAGGCATACTAATTGCTCTGTTGTGTAGATATCATCATGGAGAATCAGGCTGTGTATTGGCAAGCAGCACTTCAGTTGTGAATGGTGCTTCTTTTTCACAGGGCAGCTCAGTGGCCATGTCACTGACATATCCTCTGGACACTGTCAGGACCAGACTTCAGTGTAAGTCTCATACATCCATCTGGATCTGTGCCTAATTGATCCTCAGGCATTTGATTGAATTTAATGACGGTGCTTTTATTTTTCTTTAGTATGTCAAATAAGTTAAGTGCATTTTTGGCATATTATTGATCATTTTCACATCCATGTTGTGAATAATCCATCACCCCAGCTATGGCCTATTATACCATCCATGATCATTGAACTGAGCACTACTATAGCATGCTAGGTGCTGGTCTCTGTAAGCTCTGACTGACACCTGGTCTGGTGTCTGTAAGCTCTGACTGATACCCAGTCTGGTCTCTGTAAGCTCTGACTGACACCCATTCTGGTGTCTGTAAGCTCTGACTGACACCCAGTCTGGTGTCTGTAAGCTCTGACCGATACCCGGTCTGGTGTCTGGGCAGTGGAGGAGGGTCGGCGCGCCGACTCGACGCTGGCCGTGCTGGCCCAGCTGGTCAGCCAGGAGGGCGTCCCCACCCTGTACCGCGGCATGGGTCCCGTGCTCGAGTCGCTCTTCTGCTCCAACTTTGTCTACTTCTACACGTTCCACGGCCTGAAGCGGCTGGTGGTCGGGGAGCACAGCGCGCCCAAGGATCTGCTGATGGCCATGACGGCAGGTGGGTGGTGCGGCGGTCGACAGGCGGAGCTCTCGGGCTCCCCCACATCCAATAGGACGGGGTCGTGCTATAATGACTCAGAGGCGATTGAACCGCCCATGACATAACACACCGTCATCCAGACATCCCTCTACTGTCTTCCAACGAAAGTGTCTAAGAACAGTGTCGTTTAACACTTTCGTCATTACTTTACCCCACTGATGCAGGGTTCCCGCTGTGGCAGGACCTACGTTCCCTTTTTCTGACACACAACGTTCCCACAGCGGCGCTGTCCACTGCACCGTAAGTACCGCAACTGTCGAGATCGGCCATACGGCGTCCCACCACGGATTAGTATGTGACTACTGTATTCCTGCTGTTCGGACGGTTCAGTATCCTCTGTAAATTGACTCCCCTCCCTCCCGTGCCGCGCCGCAGGCTGCATCAACGTGCTGCTGACCAACCCGCTGTGGGTGGCCAACACGCGGATGAAGATGGAAGGAGTGGCCGAGCTGAGGAGCCGCGCCGGCGACAAACGGGAGTCGCAGGAGCGACCCCAGTCCCGGCGCTACACCAGCCTCCTCGGTGAGACTCAAAGCACGCAGCAAGTGGCGCGAGTGACCACTGACGAACATCGGAGTCTTTTCTTTGTGGTCTGCCGTTTTTGTTGTGTTCCCCGCCTCATTAGTTGCTATACTAGCGTTAATTATGTGTTACCCTGTCGCTCAGACGCGGTACGACGGATCGGCTGTGAGGAGGGGACGGCCGCCCTCTACAACGGCCTGGTACCCTCCCTGCTGCTTACCTCCAACCCGGCCGTCCACTTCGTGGCCTACGAGGCGTCCAAACGCTACCTGGAGGTGAGCGCTGACGGCAGACGGCCGAGGGATGCTGTGTAGAGCCGTGCGAGCGGCTGGGGTCGCCAGTGCTCCTGCGGGAGGCGATGACGGAAAGGTTTCGTCGGTTATCCGTTGAACTTCGGGCATGGATGGTGATTTAACGGATCGATGCACGTTTTTCATCATGCTTTTATCACGGAATAAACCGGTGGAGATTGTACGAATGTTCCAGGCGAGTGTAACCGTATTCCTTTAGCCCACCCACAGCGGCTGCACCCGGGGGTGCCGTTGTCGGTCACCCAGGTGTATCCCAGAGGGGTGTGACTGTACCCCCACCCCACCCACAGCGGCTGCACCCGGGGGTGCCGCTGTCGGTCACCCAGGTATTCCTGTGCGGTGCAGCGGCCAAGGCGCTGGCCACTCTGGTCACGTACCCGCTGCAGGCCGTCCAGGCTCAGCTCAGGGTGAGTGAATGACGCTGCCGCATTTTAGTGGCGTATCAAACATTAGCTTTCAACACAGTGTATTGCTAACTTATTTAGTCACATAACCCCGAAACATACCTACAAGCCTTATGAAAGGATAGTCAGTCAACGTGGGACGTATCGCTCAAACTAATGCTCGCGTTCACATTCGTATTTGCAGCTACATTGGCATCGGTCGTAGCCAATTCTGCGGGCCGTTATCGTACGTTGGTAGTCCCGTGCCGCGATACACAGCAGTCGGTACCTGGACTGTCCCAGATACTCTGAGATAGCGGGACACTCCGGAGCCTGGAGAGATTGGCGGCGCGGCGGCAGGCCGGTCGTGTAGATAAGGCCACAGTGACCGGTGGACTGTATGACTCGGAGATGGTCGGCAAAGCAGACTCACCGCCAACTAAGTGGATTCAGTATCCACCTATACTGTCTTTATCGTCTTTCCGTTTTTTTTTTTTTCAATCCAGTTGGCTCGTTTATACAGTAAATGTTAATGGACCATGCTTTACGTAATCTGTGCTATGCTTACTAATCTCTCAGTGAGAACGCATTGAGACATTAGTGCGGATCAATAACCATATTTATATTTATTTTAAAAAGCCATAAAGTTAAACATCTTCCAGAGAACGAATTCGGCTGCCCAGAGCCCAAAGAAAAGTGCGGATCGCTTCAAAGAGTTGTCCGTTCTTTGAACCCCTAAAATTTGGCAAAGTCCTTCCTTATCATTATTATTTGTTTAACTAGGACGAAAAGACTGGCAACTTAGACTAGAAGACCCAACTCCTTCCTGCAGTAACCGCCGGGTCCTTTCGTTTCCATTTCCTGCACCTGTCATCAGTACGTTCCGTTGCGCCTGTCCTTCCGCCGGGCGCGCCGTCGCCGAGGTCGCCGGTCGGCACCACACCTTAGTCCCGTCCCCGGTCCGCCCGAATCCCCAGCACGTGGAGGACAGGTCAGTCGCACCGCTGCTCTGGTTAGTCTCCAGTGGTGGCCGTCTAAACGGAGCAGGCACCCTTGGTGTAACGGTGGTGAAAATGACAGATTCCTTTTGCATGGTCCCCGATAGGCCTTCTAATGAAAAGTCCTAAAGTCCTGATTGGTGTGCTTTCACGTGTTTTGGCTGTTCTGGCAGCAGGCAGAGATCTTATTACCCCGGTTGAACAATACACTGCGTTGCTGATCGGATTTCTAGGGTACGACCGGGGTCTGGGTATGTTTTGTTTGAGTCTTCTCGTGGGTGTGTTGTTGAGGGATCATCACGTGCTGGTGTTTTCTCCAGGCGGGAGGGATGGTGAGGAGCGACGGCCGGCGGGAGCTGCGCATCCTCCGCATCCTGGCGCTGCTCTTCAGGTGAGCCGACACTTCGGACCGTCGACCGTGTAGCCTAGGGGCACAGTGCTGTAATATCGAGAACGCTAATGTATTAAAATTAAAATTGATACGAAAACTGTAGCGTGTACGTTGGTTGGGTCGGGATACCGCGTCACGTTCACAGCCTTTTCTTCGACCCATGCTTATCGTTCGACCATTTACTGAGTTACGGTTGTCGGCTGTGCGCACACCCTCCCGTGCCCACCTCCGTAATAACCTCTGCGAGTGTGCGTCCGTCTCTGTCTGTCGACAGACGCGGCGGTCTGGCCGGCGGCGTGTACAAGGGCCTGGAGGCCAAGATGCTGCAGACGGTGCTGACCGCAGCGCTCATGTTCGTCCTCTACGAGAAGATCGCCCAGTTTGTGTTCCTGCTGCTCCTGGGGCGGCGCCGGTAGGGCAACAGACAGGGGACTTGGTAGGCAAATGTGCCATTTTTACAGAGCTCCAATTATTATTGTGCGTCGGTCCAATAGTTGTTACATTGTTTTATCAGACTTTTCCGTTCATATCATTACAAGAGCAACGGGTTGTTCACTTAGATTGAAGACCCGTGGTTATTTGAGTGATAAGGTACACATTTTTCAAAATATTGATATTCAATGTCGAGTTCAATGCTTTAATCTTTTTTGCAACGCACACATGAATAGCAACATGTCAAAAACATCCGGTTGTTTACGTACTTCATGTTCCTCATTTGTATGATTGTTTATTTTTTTTCCTTTGACACGGTTACATTAAGTTCCCGTCTCTGGACTGGATTGTAGGGATATTGCTCAATGCTCAATCAATCACTGCACTTTGGCGTTTTCACGCCGATGTATCCTCTCGCCATCTCGCAGGCCGCTATCTTGTAGCGCAATGTTATGCCACCGATCACCTGCCTCTTATCTAATCCAACTTCGATACGTTCACTACAGATATGAGCACAATTATGTCTGATCAAAAGAGCTTGCTGTCCGATGACCAGTCTCTTCTTAGTCAGTGAGGGAGGGTGTCTTTAGCAGGCCCTCGCTGATCAGTCAATATTCTGTGATTATACATAAGGGCACCGAGCAGCAGACTCGACAGGCAAGACATGGCCGCGGCTGGCGTTACACCGGGCCGGGACGGTAGCTAGTGTATAGACGGCGGGGTGGTTTTGAATCAGAGCTGGCTCTGGGGCGCAGTTACGCTTGTATTCCAGTGAATAAATGGTGAAATATTAGTGCGTCGTTTTCCTGCCTAGTTATTCACGTCCGGGTGTCCCAGCCTGAAAAACCCTACCCCGGTCACCATGTCTCGTGAAGCTGATTTCACCTTATGAAGGTGTGGTAAAATATGTCGTGGTGTGCTATGGAACACGCAGCACAAAGTAATTGTTGATAATGCATCTGACATTTCATACTGAGCAATTTAATGTGACAAGATTCATTTACTGCGATAGTGGGTATACGAATAACTATCATTTGTCGTGTCTGACCACTATGTAGTTAGTGGTGACCCACTCCTGACATGCGTTCCCCTAGTCCTAAAACATAGCTAACATTTATGTGCCTGAACCGTGAACTTGACTGGTAGAAGCCAGCACATTGTCCGAATGCCACACCTAATGAATAGAATATTCACTGGCACTGATCTCAGGCAACGGCCGTACCATGTAGCGCCCAATATACCTTATATACCCCACGGATCGCCAGTTATCGCACGCGCCACACCGGCCGCCCCTCCCTACAGTTACCGTGCAGTGTGATAAGACACGGCACCAGCTGAGCCACGTTCGACCAGGGTGAAAGGCGTGAAAATGAGGCTGACTTCTGGCTGGGTCGGGTCCACGCTGACTCGCTAAAACGCGGCCGGCTCAGTCGTATCGTTTGTTTATAAACCATTTGATTATGCCGTTTCGGCGTTTTGTCGACTGCGTACGTGTCAAACCGAGAATGTCATTCCCGTCAGCCATTCCACCACAAACACGCTGGTTCCGATAACGAATGAATACTTGTATGTACACCGCCGGTATGAGTGATGACATGCTGCAGCATGGGCCGATGAACTGTGGGTATGAGGGGTGACGTCGGCGCCGGCTCGGTTGGCCACCGGACGGCGCCGGCCCTCCGTCTGTGCGCGGTGCGCCTCGCGGGGCACTGAGGGCGCGCACCGTCCCTGCCCGCCGGCTGACTGGGGCCGGGGCACCGCGCCGGCAATGGCCATCACTCCGTACCCCGGGCCGCTGCCGGCGGGGTACGGGGACTGTCCGGCGGCGCGCTGCGGTCAGACGGCAGCGCTCGCACGGACTCACATCGACTGACTGACGCCGATATCCCCACGCTCTCGCGCACGCCGTTGCTCCCCGCGTCCAGCCGCCGCTGTTTAGGTACTGTTCCGCTCCGCCGGCGGCGCTACTGCGCCTGCACCTGGTCGCCGAGCACCCTGATCTCGAGCCGCTCGCCGTTCTCGTCCACCAGGTAGCCCTTGCCGTTCATCACCTGCTCCAGCACCTCCTGCGGCAGGCTGATGTGCTCCGAGCCGTCCACCGTTCCCACAGTGGCCTGTGGTGTGCTGCGCTCCGCGCCGCCGCCACCACCACCGCCGCCGCCGCCGCCGGCACCGCCGGCACCCGACACCACTGCCTCCACGGCGGCGTCCACAGCCGCGCCCGGGTCCACGGCGGCCCGCTTCCTCTTCCTGCCCCGGCCGCGGCCGGCCACCGGCGTGACGGGCGCCGCGGCGGCCACCAGCTCCGCCTGGTCCAGACTCCAGTCCATTGTCGCGCCGCGCGTCCTGTACAGGGGCAGAGGGGAGGGGCACGGGTTACTAGCGGTAGGTGAGCGGCACGGCCAGGGCCGACCACTGCAGACTGCTGTGAAATGCTACCTAATTCTTATCACCATTACAGTAGGTAACTGAAATTCGGCACCACAAAGCACAACCAGAAAAAAAATCGTCAGCATCCATTCTTTTCGCCACCGCCACTTACTTTTCCTCGAGCTCCTTGGCGGAGAGCAGCGGCAGGCCCTGTCCCACGACGAAGGCGTAGTTGCTGGAGCCGACCTCGCTAAGCAGCTCGCCACACTCGAGGACGGCCTCGTCGCTGGCCGTCAGCGCCTTACGCTTATCCTGCGCCGTGCCAGACACGTTTGGTCAGAATCAGGGCATTGGTAGCGTTGGCGGGGCGTGTGGGAGTTATCCACACTGAACAGATCCGTATGGCGATGCTAAGGTCTCGTATGAACACATTGCTAAACAGATAGGCAATTGGCAATACAGTGGTCCCGTGGGTTCGTGTAGCTGAACGGTTTACAGCGCATAGACAAATCAATACACTGATGACAGACAAGGATCGCCGAGGCCAACAGGGTTCGGTGGGGGGCAGCGCTCTGACCTTGTCCAGCAGGCTGATGAGGACGCTGGGCGAGTTGCCCAGGATGCTGGCCTCCAGTTCCTTCAGCTTCTTCTCCAGCACGACGCCCTCGTTCTTCAGCCGGTTGATCTTGCCCTTGTCCTTCTGGGCCTCGACGCTGAAGTAGTCGACGGCGCGGCGCAGCTCGGCACCCTGTCACCGCAGACACACCCGGTCATACAGAGATACGACGGGGACAACCGACAAAGCATAGACTGGGGACACATTCGATCACACCTAGACAGGAAGAGCATGGCCACAACCCTACTGGCGGGAGTGCACCGCGGTAATCACTGGCGAACGTCCACTGTGCCAGAGTCCTGCAGCTGATGGTGACGTCACGTTTAAAACATTAACCCGCGCATGACTGGGGGGGAGGGGGGCTCTACAGAGCCCCCTCCCGTTTTTCAGCAATATTTTCTAAACCGTTTGACGGATCAACACGAAACTTGCGGTACCCTCAGAGGCATCAATTAAGCACCTTGTGAAAAATTTCAACTTTCTAGCTACCATAGTTTGGCCGGAAATGACGTCAGAGTGACGTCATGTCGGCCGATTTTCATGCAAAATACTGAATTACGGCAAACGCTCTCAAGAGCTGTTTTAAAGCTAGATCCATTTTCTTTGCATGAGTTGACTGCAAATACAAGTAGCTATCAAACTACTATCTCGAATTTTCGAATTTGTGAAAATTTTGAAAAATATGTATTTACAATTACAAAAATATTTTTTTTTATTTTTTTTTCAAAAAGTTTTTGACTTTTCGCAAAAACCGGAATATATGTGATAGAGCACACACTGATGAACCACCTTTGCAAGTTTTATCCCAATGTCTTCAAAAATAGCCAAGTTATTCGCATTATTGTCAAAATTTTACAATTTTATGTTTTTTCAAATTCATTTTTCAGTACGTTTTTGACGTCCTACAGCAATATAAATGGCACCATCGTGTTCCTGAGCTCAAACTGCATCTGATAGGCACCTTTTTTGTTGAAAAATTTCATTTTCAAAATTTGACCTTTTCTGACCTGAAAGTGACCTGACCTCCGGTAAATTCAGCTGACAATGACCTCAAATGACACAGACGACACTATTTTCAAAATCTACGAGTAAAATGGACCATAAGATATGCGTCACGTGACCGATACATGATATACAATTTTCGTGACCTAGGATGACCTGGTCTTAACCTTAAAAATTCAAATGAAAGTTCGGTACCCTCAGGGTATCTAAGGCATCCGTAAAGGAGTGCGTAAACAAAAAATGAGCCTGATCGGACCGGCGGTCCGGCGGTCAGAGCCTAAATTGTGGACTAGCAAAAATGTCGATAATTTTTACTTTGACCTGACCTGTGACGTCATCGGTGACCTCGAGGTCAATGAAAACAGGCTTCGCTCGACAGTTTTTCCAGGGCTATCAGACGCCGTTTGAATTTTCACGATCGGCGCGGTAGTTTCGGAGATAGGAGGGGGGGGGGCTCTGGAGAGCCCCCCCCCCCAGTCACTCGCGTTATGGAAAATACCCCAGTCATGCGCGGGTTAAAGAAGTGAGGGGATTTGGTCAGAACACAGCCAAGTGATATAGGACCTTGCCAAATGCCGAATGATATGTGTCAGCGGTACGAAAGAGGGCACCATGATGTTCCACCAGCTCTGTTCCACACTCACCACGTTCTGCAGGTCGCGCAGCTTGGCCTGCAGGATGACGATGTCGCGGCTCGACTTGGGGTTCTTCACCTGGGTGTTGATGTTCACCAGCCGGGCCGAGCCGAACGCTGCAACAGCACCAGTCACATGACGACACAGCCGTCAACCGTTCCCTCCCTTTCAAGACACCTGATAAAAGCGACTGTCGATAGATAAGAGTTGGGCAATGATCAACAGTACTAAGCATGAGTTGTTACATTGGCCAACAATACAAATGGAAATTGGAAACGAACATTTCCCACGCGATGGCATCAACTCACCGTCTTTATTTTGATCTTGCATTGCGAAGATAGCGATAGAACTAGCGATAGAGCTATACACCTCTAATGACACACACCAAGCACACCCACGCAAAAAAATATCGTCTCCCACCCCACTCCTTCCTGGAAAACCCCTTGGGAAAACCGACCACCATCAGGTTCAGGTGACCTTGATCGGTGATAGCCTTTTGTTAACATCTTCTGCGTCAAAGCGGAAACGTCGACAGGCTGCACGTGGACTAATATCGCAAAGCACCTCGGTGAAGTAGACCCCGTTTTCACATCAGCGGTCAGCACAATGGCGACAAGCACAAGACAAAACCGAGTCCCATTACAAAGTGCAGAATCTTACAGCATAAAGTCTTTTTGGCAATAAAAGACTATATTAGAGCGCATTGCTTACTATTTTTGCTTTTCAAAATTACAATTTTGCCGCTGCGAACGTAAAAGTTGGCCGTGCACGTGCGCGCGTTCCAACCAAGACCCCGACTGACCTGCGCAGAGACCCCGACATCGAAGACCGTATGTTAAACGGACCCTGCAGTTGCGGCTAAAGAAAATCATGTAACAAGCCAGGCAGCTTTCTCATTTACTAGAAGCAACACCCGACCGGTGACCGCGGTACTACCTCGGAGCCAACGTCCCTCACCAGCTGTTACCCTGCTCCCCGTCCCTCGGCAGTTACTCACGGTTGGTGGGCAGGTTGGCCGGCTGCGTCTGCGCCCGCGGAGTTTGCGGTTTGCGCGGCTTCATGGGCACGGAGCCGTCGCTGAGGGTCGGGTCGTAGTCGGGGTCATCCGAGTCATCCACCGGCGCTGGCGTCTGACCGGGCAGCGTGGCCTGGCGCGAGCCGGTCAGCGCG